CCAGTGGGGTTCCTTAAAATCAAGGTCTCTAAAGATATTCTGCTTTCAGTTAAAGTACTTAATTCTCTGTAACTTTATGTTAGTGCCGAAAATTGTAAAACTGTCAGGCAAGGTAACAGATGTTAAGCAGTGCTTACTCTGCATTGTATTGTTAAGCTGAGATCCATTTTCAATAATTGCATCTAAGGTATTTGAGTTCCAGTAACTACAAGGTGAAATGATTGAGTAATGTAGGATAAAGAACTACTGCAAAACAGTGGTCTTTGTTACACTTGTGTTGACCTGATATCTCTTTAATACCTCTCTTACATTGTTGCTTATTGCCACATCATCTTTTGTAATTTGTCAACCGTTTAATTCCTACAGATCAGTTGCTTCATATAAACTTTGAAAGTGATACACTAAGTTGTCTGTAGATGATATATCTAATAGAACACACGTCCCTCGAGTGTGACTTTTACCATAAACATCTCTAGCACGAGTCTAACACTTAAAAATGGCCATTATCAGCACAGTAACAAATACCCACAATACATCCGACTGTTAAAATATATGACCTATATTGTTCTGATATCAATGACTGAAAAGCTCTTTTCAGGCCCATACAGTATTGATAATCCCTCAATGGTTAGCTCAACATGGACATTACCAAGGTAACTTTCACTGTATTCTAGCTGGTAATCATTCTCTTGCACTGTAAGCATTGATGGTAAATCTGCTAGCAGTAAAAATGATTGTCTTGATAATTGTGACAAACTGCTATGTAGTTTACTTCCAATATGCATTATTTGTTTCAATTCATCGGGATTGCCTTTTCGTTTCATATTGTGGTATATTGACGCACATAAATTCATTTCAACACATTGTTGCCCAGCATTTTGTCCAAATACAACAACATCCCCTTGACTATATGGTGCTTAAACGGCTCCGTACATAACTCTGCAGTTTTATAATTTTCTTAGAGACACGTTTTTAACATCTTCACTGGTACTCTGCTTGGTTCACGATCACCTTTATAGCCATGGCATTCTCACACAACATGAGTACGATTATAATGTACAGACTTTGCACAACCAGATCTGAATTGTTGTACTTTTATTGACACTGTAACATCACTATGTTCATGTACATTAGTCATATTGACAACTTTTTCTAGTAGATCACAATCATCAAGAGTATTCATCATAAACGGTTGTGAAAGTCATTTTTTCAGGCCTTATTTTCACAACTGCCTAAGTAGTGCACATGACTGTGAGGATCACTTTCATTCACGTCTTTATCCGCAGTTCAAATATATGACCTTCACAACCGTTTATTTCATCACTTCACGGGTTTAAGGCCTTAGTTTAAGGATTTAGAACCAACATCATGACCAGCTCCCAGTTGGCTTGTTAGCTCAGTTGGTAGAGCGCTGCACCGGTATCGCAGAGGTCATGGGTTCAAATCCCGTACAGGCCTAAACTTTTTTTAGGCCTTATTTTCACTACTGCCTAAGTAGTGCACATGACTGCGAGGATCACTTTCATTCACAAGTATTCATCATGTCTTATACAAAGAACATACAACTCCATGCGGAGAGAAAACCAACATTAACGATCGCTTATACAATAATAATAGTGATTGTGTAAGAAATACCAAATCGTACTTTACAAGTATTGAACCCAATAAAAACCAATGACAGAAACAGGATATTTAACGAAAGAGCTAAGCTTAGATATTCAACCTTACTATTCAAGTTGCTTATGTCAGTATCCTTATCCAATTCGCTGTCGTTAGCGCCATCTTCGAAGTTGTGTTCACCAACAT